TTTAATCAAAGACGACAGATATTAACCTTGTCAATAAATTCGCAAGCCTCTTTCTTCTCCTTTGAAGGAAAGTGAAAGACGGTGTGAGGGAAAAGAACGCCGGCCGGTTCAAAGCCGTCGCCGGACAAGAAAAGTGGGCTGCCGGGATCAATGGGGGCTATGTTTTCGTTTTCCATTAATGTGGTGTTATGAAGTTTCTTGAGGAAAGATCAAAGCCGGACAAACTCCTATTTATAATAGGGTTAAGGTTTATCTTGGGAATGAAAATTCAATACTGGTGGCGTGCCCTAGTGGTTTAAACCATTTTTGGAAATCAAGAAAAGGCAATTATTGCATTAAAGACGAGCCGCTTTTCCTACTTTCAAGAAATAAGAAGGGAAAGAGCAACCGTCGCATTAACTACAAAAGTTTCTAAGGCCCAAGCCCAACAAATTTACCGAGTTGACTAACCCAAAGTGGGGAACTCGCGTTAAGCCGAGCTCAGTTCTCGCATTCTAAAGAGAAAGGTCTGATCAGCCTAAAAATCTCGAAAGCATAACCACAAGGCCACAAAAGGTTAAAAGCGGACTTTGCAAACCCGCACATAATTTTAACCAAACCCCCTTGGGGTCATAACCTAGAAAGGTTTAAAAGCCTCTTCAGGCAAATATCTTGTTCAAAAGAAATGATAAAGCCTCCTTAGGCAAAAACAAGTTCGAAATTAAGTTTCAAAATAAATGGGACAATCCCCAATTTAAAGTGGGCACAGCCACTACGGATCAACAGCCACCTCGGACTCCGGCTCGGCTGTCGAATCTTCATTCGCCTCCTTGGCTGGTGCTTGGTCAGATGAAACTCCTGGTCCGCCCTCCACAGTACAACCATCCTCCGGGGTGACCTCCGGTGCCGCAGGAACTTCGGGTGGGACGACATCTTCCGTCTCACTTGAGCCTGGGAAGGACAGTTCCAGTCAATTTAAAAAAAAAAAACAAACATAAGGTGAGAAAAAGGTAGTAAGTGTCAGGAGCCAAACGTTACCTGCCCAGTCTAGACCTGATTCACTTATAGGAGGCGATTCAGTGAAGAATTCCTCGAAGTCCTGCGGGTTGAAGGTCGAAGTGGGAAGAGCTGCCAAGCGACTCCGCTTTTCAGATAGATTAGCCGACAATTCGGTCCTCTCTCGCACCTCGGAGAAATCTGTGTCATGGATTTGATCCAACAGAATCAGGTTGCTCTCGTGCTCCTTGATGTCTGATTCCAAATCTGTCCTAGCTTTCTCGGTTTGAATGAAACGGATGGCCCCCTGGATCAACTCCATCCCGCGTCCCTTAACCTCTTTTCTGGCTTTCGATGCCGACCTTGCCAATTCGGAGTCACGTAACTTGGTGATCGCCTTGTACTTCGCGTTAAGCTCAATAAGTTGGTTGTTCAGGGTATCAGCGGTTGATTCGGATTAGTGAAGCCTACTCTGAACACCAGAAAGCTCATCCTGGAGTTTGTAATTCTGGTCGTACTGGTCCTGTAGCTCCCCCTTTATCTTCGCAAGCTCGGATGTTAGGCTGTCGACCTTGTCCTCCAGATCGTGCTTGGAGCCGGTAGAAGAGCTTAGTTCAGCCTCAATAGCAGAAAGTTTTTTCTTCCACGCGTCAATCTCCTTTTCCCGACCAAGGACCAGCCCCTCGTAATGTTCAATCATGTCATTAAGCTCACCGTTAGCCTGGCATTATGCAAAAAACCGGGATGGTGAGTCATTTCGAAGAACGACAGCACTATCGAAAAAATAAAGCGGAACTAACCCGAGATGAATGATGAACATGAAGCAAATAGCGTTCACGAATCGCATGGCGCCACTTGTCGAAGTCTGGCAAGATCGAACCCGATCGGATCTTGAAGCATCGGAAGACGCTGCCTTCTTTCTCCATAGCTGCGAAGGAGGAAGAGTTGTAAAAATTAGAATCTGAATAGAGACAAAAACTTTTAAGTATGTGTAAATCACCAAACCTGAAAGCGATTTGACTTGAGGGACAAGAGCAGGCTTTAACCTCGAGGAAGCATCTCGAGATTCAAAATCTCCCTTTTTAGGAGATGCGCTCCGAACAGTCTTTTCGCTGTCGGGCTGGGAAGAGGAAGACATATCCACAGGTCGAGGAGGACCCATTGGTTCAGTAGGAGGGGATGATCGAGGTGAACGGTCAGTCCGGGCCCTTGACTTCTCCCTTCGCGGAGAAGAATCACCACGAGAGGACTTGTCTCTCTTCCTGCGAACCAAGTTCTTAAGTGGTTCATTGCTAAAATCATCTCGGGAAGGACGAGGTGAATCACGGCGAGGAGATCGGGCCCTCCGAGGAGAACGGTCACCACGACGTTCGCGACGAGGTGTCGATCTGAAAGCAGCAACTGATCTGGCCCCTTCGGTGCTGCCATCATCAACCAGCAGGGTCCTACTGTAGTCCTTCTTATCTATAGAAGCCGCAAGAAACTCTTTCTTCTCCTCACAAGCCTCAGCTATCGGCTTGGAGAGCACCTTACGCTTGGCCGGAAGGGCCCGAGATGACATCCCCTGAGTTGAGGAAGGAGGCGGAAGTTGATGAAGTTGACCTGGGGGACTCATCCTGAGCCTGTGGTTGGCTTCTAAAAATCGTTCAAGAGTAAAAGAATTCCAAAGGGTTTCCCCTTCGAGAATTATTTTGAAGAATTTAATTAATGCTTCAGATGGGAGAGTCGGAGCGACGAAAGCTGTGAAATGAAACAACGGTTTTAGTCAATAAAGATAATAAAACAACCGGGAAAGATATGGGCGACCTAATCTCTACCAGGTTTCGCAGACCACTTCGAAGGGAGTAAATCTGCAAGATTTCCAATCGAAGCGGGAGTTTTCTTAATCAGAAACCAAGGATGGTGCCAATTTTCATCCTTGTTTGGAAGATGCGACCTTTAAAATAGATCTCATATACACAGAAATAGCCGTCGCGGTGGCTTTCTGGGGACTCCGTGGGATCGACTATCTGCGCCTCCGCCATAATTCCCGATGGAATTCGGCAGAGCTCCCTCAATCGTTCGAGAGATTGAAGGGTGCAGGTGGTTCTGAAGTGCGGACCAGCAATATCATTAGGGCGGGTGCACTCGTCATTACTAGAACGCCTCTCATCGAAAGACGGAGACTCGGGTCTATCGGAATCAGAAGTCATCGGGAGGAATGAAAAATTCAAGTTTCGGCAAAGAGAAAATCGGCGAGGAAAGAGAAGAGAGGAGTTTCGATTAAAGCGTAAAAGTAGAAAATGATGATGAAAAGAAGTTACCTTACACAAACTAAATGATGGAACCGCCTCGAAAGTTGTGTGGGGAGTGGGAAGGTTTTTTCCCGTTTTAATAGTAATTAATTAATATACGGTCATAATGATGACAAATGTCACTCGGTTAAAAATGGCTAGTGCCGAAATTAAAGGAGTGATGAGATTTTCGGCGGGAAATCAGAAAGATTCTCGAGCGCAATCTTTGGTCACTTAAGCATTTAAAGTCCTCCGAATTGGAATGGCACTTCGAAGAACTTGGGGGGCTAATTGTTGGTGTCGGATCCCGCACCAAAGGTCCAGGACCAACCAAAGATTGCCACGTAGTCAGGGTAACGGCCCATAAAGGATAAAGCAATTATACCCACAAGTCAAAAGAACAGTCGAAGTGGTTTTCACCATAAGAAGAATCCGAAGTGACTGCACCTCGACACGAGTCCGGAGACGAAGTCATGGTTAAGTCAGTCCAAGGACATTTGGGCCAAAAGGCGAGGCCCATGAAGATCAGAATCAACTCAAATTCAAACGTTAAGCATTAAAAGCAAAGATCAAAACGGACACATTTAAGAGAGAATAATTGTACTTAATTAGCCACTTAAATGTCGTTTTTCTATGTATAAATATAAAGGCTAATGGCCATGTATGGGGGATCTTTCTCTGGAGCAAGAAATACTATAGCAATTTTTGTGGCAATTCTTAAGCTTTTTACATATTTATTTTTGTCCCTCAAGAGTAATCTTTCCTACTTAATAAAATACTTGAGTGTGTAAATCCGACATCCACAGTGATTAACTCAGATGTTTAAAGATCTTGGGGTTTATGTAAGTTTTCACTTACAGAGCATCCCAAAGATATTTTATAGCCTGAGGCTGTCCATCTAGAGAAGAAAAAGAGTCCTTCTTCTTTAGGAATCCACAAACACTTAACCTCAAGTTCTTTGCTCCACGAAGTCTCATAAGCCACAAACTCTTGGTGATGCTTAAAATTTGGACCTTGATTCATTTGACATGAGAACTTAGTCGTTTGCCAAATGTTATCACCAAAAGTAAACTCGTAGTCTTCGCCGACTTTCTCTCCAAGATCATCGTCTTCAGAACGACAATGAACCTTTAAGAAGCTTGTTGTGCTGCAATTGGTTGCTTACAGTGACTTTGATTGCTCCTATCAAGGGGGCACCATTGCTTAAGCCAATGCATAGACTTAAAAGAATCGGAAATAACATGAAGTGATTGTTAACCTTGTACCCAAAAAAAAATGAAGAGATTGTTCAATTTTATATGTGTGATAACTTTGGGAGACAAGAGTAAATTAAATCTCTTTGTTAATTAATTTTTATGGTATATAATTAAACGCAATCTGAGATGTATTAGAACCATTGATTCGAGAACCAAGATTCTATTGTTTGGATCTTTCAAAGAAATAAAGAAAATTAATGACCAACAGATTCTTCTCCTAACTAAACTTTGTGATTTGATCAATCATATCCTACTATCCCTTAAAGCGTATAGCTCTAGGATTTTATTGCACTAAAATTTTGGTCGTAGGTTAATAATTTATTTCACGATTTCCAAAGCCAAACATGATTAGAACTTAGAAGATAAAAGAAATTTATTTTTAACTCTGAAACATATTTGTAAAACATGATTAGAATTTAGAAGATATTTAGGTCTCTTATTATTGTCTTGGTCTTGGAATTTGTAGTTATGAAAAATAATAAGTTGATCTCGCATTTTGTCGAAAGCTTGGGGTTTATTTTACAAACCCATAAAAATATATAAGAGACACAAATCCACCGACTTTGCCCTAAGCATGCATAAATCCGCCGTTGGCCTTGGTGATTGACATCAGAGTAATCTTTTTTCTTTATTGACAAATCTGAGGAGAAGAGAATAATGGATCACAGAGATCTGAGGTATCGTCAAGCGGTAATCTGCTCTTGTTGCGGCGTGCGAGTGGTAGATTCCTTGTCTCTCAAACAATCTTTGATTTTTCCTGTTGCTTTTATCTTTTTTGTGTTTCAATGGCTCATGAAGAAGATTTTCAGATCTCATCTCTTATTTAGTCTCTTGCTCGTTGATGTCCTGTTTGGAGTGTTTAAATTGGTAAATCTTCTAGGTTTAGGATTCGTAGGAACTTTGGTGCATATGTCTAGATCCAAATCCGTCTTTAAAGTCATTATAGCGGCTGATTCTGATGGCTTGTAATATTGATTGTTGTTCTGATATGCAGATCGGATTTGTAGTGGATGATGAATCTGATACTATTCGAAGAACAACACCAAACTTAACGCTTCAAATATCTGAAAGCGAGCACGACTGGGCTGATGATCGGTTGGCAAGAGAAAGGGCAAGAGAGGATCGCGCCTGGCACAATGATCTGTTGGCAAGTGGTGCCAAGTGTCCATTCCCCAGCCAGAACATAAGTACTCATTGTTATGGGTAAGCTGTTTTCTTCTGTAGTGCTTGAGTCTCTTGCTATGGTTTCTTTTCTCACTGATCAGCTCATACACCACTGACAGATATGAATTGTGATCTTTATCATCTTGTGCTGAGCTTATGCTATGTTAGTCTTGTTATATATTTACGCTCCTTTCGAATTTATGTTCTCTTATGCGTTACTAGTTTTGCATCTCGAAACACTCAGATTGAGTTTCTGATTCTCATCTTCTTTTTACACAGTCACAGCACTTTAGAGGTTCAACATTTGGCAGGGGTAATTGCAACTCTGGAACCACCAGTGGACAAAAGCATCAAAACACTTGTCGTGTGTGGATTTAACTCGAGAATCCTCGAGCAGACCATACTAGACAAATTTTCTGCTTATGGAGTGATCAAATCTATCAGATTCTTTGCCAGGGAAGGTCGTGCGTTAGTCACATACACAGACCGAGAAGGAGCAGAGAAGGCCACTCAAGGCCTCTCCAAGTGGCTACTCATCAATGGTCAGAGGCTAAAACTTGCATGGGGAAGGCCTCAGGACCACGAAACTGATCAAGATAGTTTGAACCAACAGGGCACTGTGGCTGATAGTGGTTTACTATCACAGCAGCAGAATCGACCCTCAGCTATGGACCTTGGCGCAGTCACTTCAACCCAAGAGGTTGGTGGTTCAAGCACCAGTGAGCCCAACGAAGCTTCTTCGTCCAATATTCCAATCATCTGCGAATATTGCCGAGTGGTAGAAAGGGACCGCGCCTGGTGGACAAGAGAAATGGAGCACGCCTGCAACGAAGCTTCTTCTTCTTCTTCTTCTTACGAGAGGCCTCCACAGCTGCCACTACCATCCGAAGATGAGTATCGGACTAGTCTTAGAAGAAGCAAGATTTAATAACTTCGATCTTATGAATCATAACCATATTTTCTAATTATTTTCTCGTTAATTAGACTATAATGGTGTTGGTGTTTTTTTTACGACTGTAGTAACAAATCTTAATTATGCAGAAGGATGGAATTAAGAAGCTAGTTTTAGTGTTTTAGATTTTCATTGTCTACTAGGTCGGACCCGCGGTCCACCGCGGGGGAATATTGGTTTAGATACGTTGAATTTAATATTGTGTGTTTTTAGTAGAGCGAATCATGTAGTATACTTATAAATATTCATAATAACGAATTGTTGAGAAAATGTTAAAAAAATTTATAAATAAACCCATCGTATTAATTATGATTTACAAAATAGAATTTTGTGTTTTAAAATTCTAAAATTAGACGATTCATAGGAATTAGAACAGTCAAAATAGGTCAAAAACCGCGGGTCGAGCCCAAATCATCTTACTATGGGGTAGATTTGGGAAAATATATTAAACACGCAAATAAGCGAGCCACATGGATTAATTTGCAGTGGGTCATAGGTTTAATCGGTTTTCATCCGCGGATTGGTGGATCAGCCCGCATGTTAGTATTTATGGATAAAATTATAATTTATTCAACATGTGGTAATTTAAACAAACTATAATAGTATTTTTATTTATTTATTTATTTTAGTAGTATTTTAAATTTTGGTTACTTTAAAACTATTTAAACAAAATCCATGGACAATCCCGCAAATCCGCATACATTCGCGGAACGGGTTTGTATTTCATATATGTTACCCGCGGATCGTGCGGACCGACAACTACAAGTCAAAATATTTTTTGCCTATCGCAAACGGGCTTAACGGGACGAATCAACTCGCTTTGACAGCTCTAATGAGAATATTATTTAGTCATACAACAAAATAAAGTTTGGACATAAGAATAATAGAATATGTATCTTATATTCTTATTTCTTAGGTGAGAGATTGAAAGATGAAATATAATGATTAAAAATTAGTTATTATTTTTCATGATTCACAAAATTTAATAAATACTTATCATCTTGTTGAATAATTCTAAAATCATATTCAATAAATCTTTATAAATTGAAAATTAAACTTCTTTGGTAAGCTATAGGTATGAAAATACCATAATTTCGATTTAATCTAATTAAATTAAAATTAGTTATATGGAGTTTATATCTATTTAATGTACACGACCAAAATAAAAATATATATTTAATTTATAAAACATATGGGGTATTACTTATGTGTGATAAATTTTCTAGAAATCTTTAGAAGCAAGTAAGATATCTTTCAATTAATGATAATTGGCTAAAATGAGCGAAATTAATGATAAAAACGTTGATTGTTATCGAATTAGTTCCAAAAATATATGAAAAAATTTATTATACGTAATTAATGTATAATATTGTTCGGAATATGCTTTTATAATTAGTTGCCATAAGTACAATCAGATTTTATTTGATTTCCATAAATATTTCATTTTTCATTCGATTTTTCATTATTAATTCGAATTTATATTCCAAAAAAAATTCAAAGATCCGATTTCAGAATTTCGGGTCAATTTTCTGATTTTAACCCGACCCATTTTCATTTGTACTTCTCTTTTAATAGTATAAAGATGAAACAGTAAATATATAAAACCATCTATTCACCAAAAAAAAACTAAAATAAAGACTTAATTTTTGAATTGTCCTAACTTGGACTATTTTTGTATTTCTAGTGAGTTCAATTTTTCTTCAAATTCAAAAGTCAATGGTGAAAACGCCTTTTCCAATTTCTCCATTGTTTATGGCTCATCCACTGATCATATGTGAACTTGAATTTCTCGCTACTCTAATCTCATGGCTTCTTCTTCTTCACCTCGCACCTGGAGATACCGAGTCTTCACGAGCTTCCATGGACCTGATGTCCGTAAAACCTTTCTCAGTCATTTACGCAAACAGTTTATCTGCAATGGGATCACCATGTTCGATGATCAAGGGATCGAGAGAGGTCAAACCATTTCCCCAGAACTCACACGAGGGATTAGGGAATCGAGGATCTCGATTGTAGTGCTCTCGAAGAACTATGCTTCATCGAGCTGGTGTTTGGATGAGCTGTTAGAGATTTTAAAGTGCAAAGAAGATATTGGACAAATAGTGATGACGATCTTCTACGGAGTTTATCCTTCTCATGTTCGGAAACAAACCGGAGAATTCGGGATCCGATTAAGTGAAACTTGTGATGGTAAAACGGAGGAGGAGAGGCGAAGATGGAGCCAAGCTTTGAACGATGTGGGAAACATAGCCGGAGAACACTTCCTAAACTGGTTAGTTTAATTTCGTTCAATTAATTCGGAATTCATGTTTCTCAATCCGATTAGGGACATCTCCTTTGTGAATCTAAAAGATCTCATAGGTTCATGAATTACTTTATTAGCAACATAAGACTCATGTCTTTCATGTGCAAAACAATATTTCAGCTAACTATGCATAATAAAGATAGGTTCAGATTTCACATGACTATTTGATAAACACTATGAATTTTCCGTTCTTGTTAGGGACAAGGAATCGAAGATGGTCGAGAAGATTGCTAGAGATGTATCAAACAAACTAAACACTACAATCTCTAAGGATTTTGAAGATATGGTGGGTATTGAAGCACACTTGCAGAAAATGCAGTCTTTGTTACATTTAGATAATGAAGATGGAGCTATCATTGTTGGAATTTGTGGTCCTTCCGGCATTGGTAAGACTACCATTGCAAGGGCTTTACATAGCCGACTCTCTAGCAGTTTTCAGCTTACTTGTTTTATGGAGAATCTTAAGGGAAGCTCTAATAGTGGTCTTGATGAGTATGGATTGAAGTTGTGTCTGCAACAGCAGCTTCTTTCAAAGATTTTAAACCAAAATGATTTGAGGATATTCCATTTAGGTGCGATACCGGAAAGGCTGTGCGACCAAAAAGTTCTTATCATTCTTGCTGATGTGGACGATCTGCAGCAACTTGAGGCTTTGGCTAATGAAACTAGTTGGTTTGGTCCTGGAAGCAGGATTATTGTAACCACGGAAGATCAAGAGCTTCTGGAGCAACATGATATCAACAATACATACCATGTGGATTTCCCAACTACAAAAGAAGCTCGTAAGATCTTTTGTAGATCTGCTTTTAGACAGAGTTCTGCACCATATGGTTTTGAAAAGCTTGTCGAACGAGTAATAAAACTTTGCAGTAACCTTCCGTTGGGTCTCCGTGTCATGGGTTCATCATTACGAAGAAAGAAAGAAGACGACTGGGAAAGTATATTGCATAGGCTAGAAAATAGCCTTGATCGAAAGATCGAGGGAGTACTTAGAGTCGGATACGATAATTTACATAAGAACGATCAATTTCTTTTTCTCCTGATTGCATTCTTCTTCAACAACCAAGACAATGATCATGTGAAAGCAATGCTTGGTGGCAGTAATTTGGATGTCAGATACGGGTTGAAAACCCTCACATATAAATCTCTCATACAAATATCTATCAAAGGAGAGATAATGATGCATAAGTTACTACAACAAGTGGGTAAAGAAGCGGTTCAAAGACAAGATAATGGGAAACGCCAAATCCTAATAGACACTGATGAGATTTGTGATGTCCTCGAAAATGATTCTGTAAGTTCTTCTTCGATTTGTTCTTTTTATTTTTTTAATCTCTGTTTAACCAGGTCATTTGGAAAATACTCTACATATCTTATTAATGGTGCTAACATTTTCTTTTATTTTGAAATTTGTTTAGGGTAGTAGAAATGTGATGGGTATATCTTTTGATATATCCACACTCTTAAACGATGTGTATATAAGCGCAGAAGCTTTTAAAAGGATCCGTAATCTTCAATTTCTCAGCATTTACAAGACAAGATTTGATACAAATGTTAGACTGCATCTATCCGAGGACATGGTTTTTCCACCTCAACTAAGGTTATTACATTGGGAGGTATATCCAGGAAAGTGTCTTCCTCATACATTTAGGCCGGAATATCTTGTGGAGCTTAATTTGCGAGATAACCAGCTCGAGAAGCTTTGGGAAGGAATCCAGGTTGGTATATATTTTTGTTCTCTCCGAATAGTTGAAGTAACTACTTGTCACCAGGTGCTGATGATCTTTCCTCTTTTTTGTGCTGTTTTGCATTCAGCCCCTAACAAATCTCAAGAAGATGGAATTGTTACGGTCCTGTCATTTAAAGGAACTCCCAGATCTTTCAGATGCTACAAATCTTGAGGTATTGAATCTGGCTCGTTGCGAGAGTTTGGTAGAGATTCCTCCTTCTTTTGGAAATCTTCATAAGCTAGAGAAGTTGATTATGGATTTCTGTAGAAAGCTAAAAGTTGTTCCGACTCACTTCAACTTGGCATCTCTTGAATCACTGGGGATGATGGGATGCTGGCAATTGAAAAAAATTCCGGATATTTCTACGAATATTACAACACTCTCAATGACAGACACAATGTTAGAAGATTTGACTGAATCAATTAGGCTCTGGTCTGGCCTTCAGGTTCTCGATATATATGGCAGTGTCAATATATATCATGCCACTGCAGAAATTTATCTAGAGGGAAGAGGCGCAGATATTGAAAAAATTCCATATTGCATCAAAGATCTTGATGGGTTAAAGGAGCTTCATATATATGGCTGTCCAAAAATCGCATCACTGCCAGAGCTCCCTAGCTCGCTAAAAAGACTAATAGTAGACACTTGTGAATCACTGGAGACACTAGTACCTTTCCCTTTCGAGTCTGCAATTGAAGATCTCTATTTCTCCAACTGCTTCAAATTGGGTCAAGAAGCACGTAGAGTCATTACCAAGCAATCTAGGGACGCATGGCTACCCGGAAGAAATGTACCAGCGGAGTTTCATCACCGAGCTGTTGGAAATTCCTTAACCATCCCTTCAGATACATACGAATGCAGGATCTGCGTCGTGATTTCTCCTAAACAGAAAATGGTAGAATATTTTGACTTGTTGTGTCGTCAACGCAAAAACGGTATCTCCACTGGCCAAAAAAGACTTCAGCTTCTCCCCAAGGTCCAAGCTGAACATCTATTTATAGGCCACTTTACTCTTTCTGATAAACTGGACAGTGGGGTATTGTTGGAATTCAGCACCTCATCCAAGGACATCGCCATTATTGAATGCGGTATTCAGATCTTTCACGGACACTATCGATAGAAGAAGCAGAAGAGCTAAAGATAATTGGTGCTACGCTGGTTTAGTATCAATTAAACCGGTATAGTATCAATTAAACCGGTTTAGTATCAATTAAACCATTAATACAGTAATTGGTGCTAAGCAACAATTAAACCATTAATCATTTCGACGACTTATGACTTCATTCCCTTTCCAGCTCTCTCCTTTTCAAAAGTCAAAAGTCAAAAATCGAAAGTCAACGGTGAATACGCCTTTTCCAATTTCTCCATCGTTTATGGCTCATCCACTGATCCACAAACATTTTTTGTGTATGTGAACTTGAATTTCTCACTACTCTAATCTCATGGCTTCTTCTTCTTTACCTCGCACCTGGAGATATCGCGTCTTCACGAGCTTCCATGGACCTGATGTCCGTAAAACCTTTCTCAGTCACTTACGCAAACAGTTTATCTGCAATGGGATCACCATGTTCGATGATCAAGGTATCGAGAGAGGTCAAACCATTTCCCCAGAACTCACACGAGGGATTAGGGAATCGAGGATCTCGATCGTAGTGCTCTCGAAGAACTATGCTTCATCGAGTTGGTGTTTGGATGAGCTGTTGGAGATTTTGAAGTGCAAGGAAGATATTGGTCAAATAGTGATGACTGTCTTCTACGGAGTAGATCCATCTGATGTGCGCAAACAAACCGGAGATATCTGGAAAGTTTTCAAGAAAACATGTGGTGGTAAAACGGAGGAGAAGAGGCGAAAATGGAGCCAAGCTTTGAACGATGCGGGGAACATAGCCGGAGAACACTTCCTAAACTGGTTAGTTTGAATCTGGGATTATCTTAGTGCATCTGCAATTCAATTTCACATAACTATTTGATGGACATGGTGATTTCTCTCTGTTGTTAGGGACAATGAATCGAAGATGATTGAGAAGATTGGTAGAGATGTTTCAAACAAACTAAACACTACAGTCTCTAAGGATTTTGAAGACATGGTGGGACTTGAGACACACCTGGAGAAAATACAGTCTTTGTTACATTTAGATAATGAAGATGAAGTTATTATTGTTGGAATCTGTGGCCCTGCAGGTATTGGTAAGACTACCATCGCTAGAGCTTTACATAGCCGACTCACTTGCAGTTTTCGGCGTACTTGTTTTATGGAGAATCTTAGGGGAAGCTATAATAGTAGTCTTGACGAGCATGGTTTGAAGCTGCAATTACAAGAACAACTTCTTTCCAAGATTTTAAACCAAAATGGTATGAGGATATACCATTTGGGTGCGATACATGAAAGGCTATGCGACCAAAAAGTGCTTATCATTCTTGATGAAGTGGACGATCTGAAGCAACTTGAAGCTTTGGCTAATGACACTAAGTGGTTTGGTCCTGGAAGTAGGATTGTAGTAACCACAGAAAATCAAGAGCTTTTGAAGCAACATGGTATCAAGAATACATACCATGTGGATTTTCCGACTCAAAAAGAAGCTCGTGAGATCTTTTGTAGATATGCTTTTAAACAGAGCACTCCACAAGATGGTTTCGAAAATCTTTCTGAAAGAGTTACAAAGCTTTGCAGCAGACTTCCACTAGGTCTTCGTGTCATGGGTTCATATTTACTAAGAAAGACAGAAGATGACTGGGAAGATATACTGTATAGGCTAGAAAGTAGCTTTGATCCAGTTGATCGAGGTATCGAGAGAGTACTAAGAGTCGGATATGACGGTTTACATGAGAAGAATCAATTGTTATTTCTCCTCATTGCATTCTTCTTCAACTACAAAGACGAAGATCATGTGAAAGCAATGCTTGCTGACAATAACTTGAATGTCAGACTCGGTTTGAAAACCCTCGAGTATAAATCTCTTATACAAAAATCGTCCGGAGGAAATATAGTGATGCACAAGTTACTACAACAAGTGGGTAGAGAAGCGGTTCAAAGACAAGAGCCTTGGAAACGCCAAATCTTAATTGATGCTCATGAGATTTGTGATGTCCTTGAAACTGATTCTGTAAGTTCTTTTTTTTTTTTTTCGTTTGAATATATGCATTAAACCGAGTCATATGGAAAAGACTCACAAGACTCTTACCTTATTGTGCTAACTTTTACGTTATTTGGTACTGATTAGGGTTGTGCAAATGTGATGGGCATATCTTTTAATGTATCTACAATCCCGAATGGCGTGCATATAAGCGCAAAAGCTTTTCAAAATATGCGTAATCTTCGATTTCTAAGCATCTACGAGACAAGACGTGATATAAACCTTAGAGTGAATGTACCCGAGAACATGAATTTCCCACATCGGCTAAGGTTTTTACATTGGGAGGTATATCCAGGAAAGTGTCTTCCTTCTACATTTAGGCCAGAATATCTTGTGGAACTCAACTTGCAGAATAACAAGCTAGAGAAGCTTTGGGAAGGAACACAGGTTGGTTTTTATATATATTTGCTTATTTAAAATATTTGAAGTATGTATGTACTTTCGTATGTTGATGATCTTTCCTTTGTTGTATTCAGCCTCTTACAAATCTCAACAAGTTAGAATTGTGTGGGTCCTTACGATTGAAGGAACTCCCAGATCTTTCAAATGCCACAAATCTCAAGAGACTAGATCTAACTGGTTGCTGGAGTTTGGTAGAGATTCCTTCCTCTGTTGAAAATCTTCATAAACTAGAAGAGTTGGAGATGAATTTATGTTTACAGCTTCAAGTTGTTCCGACTCACTTCAACTTGGCATCTCTTATATCACTCAGAATGTTGGGATGCTGGCAATTGAGGAAATTTCCAGGTATTTCTACGAACATCACATCACTCGTAATCGGAGACGCAATGTTAGAAGAAATGCTTGAATCAATTACGCTTTGGTCTTGCCTTGAAACTCTCAGTATATATGGCAGTGTCATTACACATAATTTTTGGGCAGTAACTTTAATAGAGAAAATGGGCACAGATATAGAGAGGATTCCTTATTGCATCAAAGATCTCCCTGCGTTAAAATCGCTTTATATAGGTGGCTGTCCAAAACTTGTATCACTGCCAGAGCTCCCTGGCTCACTCAGAAGACTAACAGTAGAAACTTGTGAATCACTCGAGACCGTATCTTTTCCTATTGATTCTCCAATTGTGAGTTTCAGTTTCCCCAACTGCTTCGAATTGGGTGTAGAAGCACGGAGAGTGATTACACAGAAAGCAGGTCAGATGCTAGCATACTTACCAGGAAGAGAAGTACCTGCGGAGTTCGTGCACCGAGCTATAGGAGATTCCTTGACCATCCGTTCATCTTTCTGCTCCATATTTAGGATTTGCGTCGTTGTTTCCCCTAAATCAGGGATGAAAGAAGAATATGTTGATTTAATGTGTCGCAAACGCATAAACGGTTGCCCCAATGGCGATAACTTATTTAAGGCACGGCTCCGTAAAGTCCAAGCGGAACATCTGTTTATATTTCAATTTGAATTCCTTGAGGAAGACGGATGGCTGGAACAGGACAACGAGGTATTGTTCAAATTCACGACCTCATCCCAGGAACTAGACATTATTGAATGTGGTATCCAGATATTGACAGGCGAAACCAACAGAAACATAAGCAGCTATGAAAGCTATGAATCCAGGTCAGAGCAAGTCTCTGAATACGAAGATGAATCTCTCTATGACGGAAGCATAAGCAGTCAGGGAAGCAATGAAGACGACGACGGATATCACTCTGATAGGAGACTTGAGTTCCATGAACAAAAGTCCTTGTCCAGGTGGGGTTTCTGTGGAATTTTTCATGGCTTCTTGAGATGTTTTATGGCCTGACAATGTGGCAGCCGTTCATGAAATTTCTCAGAAATGGCCTAGCCATGGTAGTCTTATCGTGGATGTTGAATAGTGCTGCGATTCAGAGGCAGATTGCATTGCATCCTCAGTGTGAAAGTCCTCTCCTAATGTCTAGCTACTGCATCTTAAATCACATTTTTGAGACATTTCGATACAAAGCACGTGAAGCAGCTTGTTAAGTGTGACAACATTGGGCTAGAAACCAAGTTCCTCAATGTAGACAAAGCAAATGACAGCTTATGAGTAAATAACATTGTCTGTAATATATAATGCAAGCGTTTATTGTGTAATAGTAAAACTCATATGCAGAGGCAAAACAATCTGTGATCATTTTAATATATTCCACTGCTAATTTTCAGTAGCTAAACAGTTTCGAGTAGAAGTTTTTGAAGGATTCTCTTAAAGTGTCCCTCAAGCAGCCAAACTCTTGGAGGCAATCTCAAAGACATTCTCAGACAGCCCATTTGCAGACATTATCATCTCCAGTTGTGCCTGCAAAAACAACACACAAACACAACAGCTTAATCTAATGATCTTCTCAGGCTATAAAACGAATCATGGATACAGATTTCGAGACTGGACAAAGTGGTTAAATGAGGCAAAAGAACCATGAAATGCTTAAGGAAAAATTCAAGACTTGTTTGCATTTAATGTCCGGACGATATACCTTGGCTAGACCTTGACGGGTTTCATCGTACCGCTTCCACCTCGAAAAGGCAGACACCATACGAGAAGCAACCTATAATCAGACCAAATAAAAAGTAGGTCGTTAAGCTTCTTGTTGTTGCCAGGATAGTTACATTAGGTAAGTAATTGCAAAGACACAAGTTCAGATGAGAGTTTAACCTGAGGGTTCAATTTGTCTAACTGGACAACAATGTCACCCAAGAACTTGTAACCTGATCCATCCTTGGCATGGAAATTCACTGGGGAACCGCAGAACCCTCCAATAAGCGAGTAAACCTGAAAGATTGTTATCGGTTTCGTCGTAAGCATACAACTGTGAAAATGTTGCGGAATGAGGGTTTTGAGAATTCACTTGCCTTGTTTGGGTTGCGCAGATCGAAAGCTGGGTGATCCAAAAGCTTCTTGACATTCTCTACATTGCCAGGAATGTCGGATGTTGATTGAAGGAGGAACCATTTATTAACAACCTGAGATCAGAAGCCGATAAATCTTAGTATGGTATATTAATCCTGGAGGCAGAAGAATGTAACTTATGATATTAAGATCCATACCAAGTAATCATCCTGCCACTTGTTATAGAAGTCGGCAAGAATGTCGTCACGGGTTTTACCAGGGTTCTGGGCAAGAGCTGCCAAAGCAGCAAATTGGTCGGTCAAATTGGTGGCCATCTTGTATTCGTTCAGTGCAAGTTCCATATATGCTGGATCCTCGAGAGATGCAAGATAAGCTGGAGTATTTCAACAAAGCAAAACATAGTCAAGTTAGCGTCTAGATCGGGGAGCATCTCCTTCTATTGAAGAATGGCTCTGCAACACAAACCTAGAGCTGTGTTCTTCAAAGCACGCCTCGCCATGTTTGGGTGGTCAAAGACATAAGCTTCTGTGCTCCTATTGTTCTCGACCTGCACAAAAAAACAATTAAAAAGTTTCAGTTAATAAGCAGCAAACAATTTTATATAATGACATGAACGTCTTCGCTTCAGTGGGGAGTACAGTACGACTATAGTCCCCAATCCTGAAAGATTCACTATGTAGAGAGAAGAAGACATACTATCTTTAGAAGCTCAGCTTTAAGTTCTGATGCAAGCTGCTTTCTTACAAACTTTCTAACAGCATGAACAGCATCAGGATCCGCCACGGCCATCATGTCCATTATCTCTCCCTCCCCAGGCAGTGTTATTGCTTTGGCTATAAATTCCTACACAATAGATAAAGAAAACAGATTTGAAAGTCCTATCCTACACTTACATGTATGCTTACGCGGGAGATAAGGGAATGTAGAGCCATACCTTGTCCAAGCTTGAGTCAGAAAGAACACTGCCGAGACCTTGCACAAATTTTGGGTTTAGAACCAACGGTTTATTTTGCTGGAAATCAGAAACTAAGTTCAACATCAGCTTCCTTGCCAGAACTTGACCGGCCTCCCACCTAAAACACAGAAAGATAAATGATCGAAATGCGGAAAGAGCATAGAGAAGAACTAATATGTTGTAGAAAGGCACATACCGATTGAATTCATCTGAATCATGAGCTAGGAGGAAGAACAAGTCATCATTAGAGAGATCAGTCTCAACACGAACTGGGGCACTGAATCCCCTAAATAGGGAAGGAACAGGTCTTTCTGATATATCAGAAAACACAAACTCTTCTTCTTTCTGTACATTAACAAGGTCAGGAAAAGATAAATGAGGAAGATCAGGACAAAAGGTATAAAAATTGAAAACACTGGATGCGAGAAAAGAGCGGAGGGTGTTTAGAGAAGGAATTCTCAGCTAACCTTAGTCACTCGAAGTATTGTGCTGCTGCTTGAAATGGTCTGCACTGTACCATCATGATGAACAGAGGAGAGTGTGATGTCTTTACCACTCGAGTCCAGAAGACCTACAACCACTGGTATAAATGTAGGTTCTTTTGTTGGCTGGCCTGGAGTCGGAGGTATCTCCTGACTGGGAAGGTGATCAATTACAAAGAAAGCCAATGTATCAACAACAAATTCAATAGAGGTAAGATCCATAAAGGTTCAATTTCAAATACAGGGCAGGTGTACAAACAATCAATTCCGCGCGAATTTGGGAAAAAAAAAGAGAGTTAGATATGAGAAGAACCGAACCTAAATTTTAAAGAGAAAGTACGAGCTTCAGCATCGTAAGAGGAAACCACTTTGACAACTGGCGTTCCAGCTTGAGAGTACCTAAGATGTTGTATATGGTATATACTTAAAAGTATGAAAACAAGAATCTTCACACGAAATCCACAATAATAATCTGACTAACCATTGCAAGAAATTAGCAAAATCTGCTTTGTTTGCATCACGCATAGCAGCAAAGAAGTCTTCACAAGTCACTGCTTGCTCATCATGTCTTTCAAAATAGAGATCAATTCCCTGTAACATATGGACAAATAAAGATGATTAGAACGTGTTAGAAGGAAATTTTTGCCACTGGATCCACACAAAAAATGTAGCGTTGGAAGCAACCTTTCGGAACCCCTGAGTTCCTAGTAGAGTTTTGTACATCCTAACAACCTCAGCTCCCTAGGAAAACATTATTGAGTCAAATAAAGTTTCTTGCTTACTGCATATAACAGAAACACTATTGGTAACGAGCCAAACCTTTTCATAAACCTGAAACAACAACAGAAACCAAATCATTCTGTTAAAAATAATATGATTGATAGGAAATGAAACTATGAATAAAAAGGAATTTTCAAGTCCCTACCGTCACTGAGAGAGTAGGTGATGGCCAGAGATGTAATGCAGGTTCGAACAGATTACAAAAGCACAAGCACGTTAGATTGGAAAACAATGCTGAGATTAACATAATAAAATGTTTTAATGGAATTCCTTCTTGTGAACAGAAACTTGCCTGTGTAGAAGTTGTCCATCTGCCAGAGAAAGGAAAAGAGCCACATTTAGCAACACTTATAATAACATGTTACATCAACATTTCCAAGGCAAAATAAGAGAATCTCTGACCTTGATGTATGAATGTGGGCGAACAGGATGTGCCATAGGACCAGCATCCTGATAAATTAGAGGACAGATAATTTGGCATGAGAAGATGAAACAATCCCATGAAGGGCCCTGAAAGGAGTACAAAATAAGGTACCTGCGGAAATTGATAGATCCGAAGCTTTGAAACATCAGCAATACGCTTTACAGTTCGGCTTCCCATGTCAGATGAAAACTCCTGTATAGATTTTGCAAATTTTATCATTATAAGGAAAAATTCCCATAACCATCTTCAAATAGCAAAAGGATAAAATATACCTGGTCACGGAAAACAGTAAGTCCTTCCTTTAGACTGAGTTGGAACCAGTCACGGCATGTCACCCTGTTTTTACAAGTAGACTTTTAGTCATAAATTAGGCCATGTACTAACAACGTTTCTTATATAAAATATACTGCACAGACAAGCATCTATCTTATACCAGACAAACAAAATTAGAAGATTCAATAATCAAGAATCAATCAATTGTAGCAAAGGGAAGGAGAGATGAGGCTGACCTGTTCCCTGTCCAATTGTGAAAGTACTGCACAAAGAAAGATGTGTTTATTGAAAATTAACTGAAACACCAGAAGATATTTCAACAAACAACATATGATATGATTACATACCTCATGACCAATAACACCCAAAATTGCAGCGTAATCCGCATCTGTTGCAGTTTCTGGAGATGCTAGGACAAGCTTGGAATTAAAAATCTGTAAGGTAGAAGCTCATGGATTACCATCAAAATATAATATGTTTACAATTACATGATTTCTTATAAAGCAAGGTAGGGTTACATTCAAACTCTTGTTTTCCATGGCTCCCCTGCAAATCGAGCAAAACCAATCAGTTTGTCTGGTATCGACAATAAGAAAAAGAAAAAGGATTGAATATATTTGCAAATGGATTAATACTATAAGTGTAACAGAATCCACCATTTGGTCATACATGTTAAAATCTGGAACAGCAACAATGTTGAAGAGATCCAGGTCATACTCAAGCCCAAACACCTAGTGAAAAAAGGGTACACATAAATAAATAATCAGATTCAGTAACCTAACAAGTAACAACTACAATTAAAAAAATGCAAGTGCTTACATCCTCATCCCACTTCATTGCCGCTTTTAAGGAATACATGGCATGGGCAGTCTTTGGTAGATCTTCTGCAGGAGTCCAGATTTTCAGGGAAACCTGCCTACCAGAACGTGTGGTAAATGTATCATCTCTACTCACTAGCTGCCCAGCCACCAGAGCAAATAGATAGCACGGTTTCTTGAATGGATCCTCCCATAAGGCATAGTGCCGACCACCCTACATTACAATAAACAATTCTGCTTTCAGTAAAGACCAAGCCGAGAGACACTTGGCAAACCAAAAAAAAGAAGGCATTATTTTGCTAACCTCTACATCTCCTTGAGAAATGAGGTTTCCATTGGACAATAACACAGGATAAAGTGTCTTGTCAGCTTCCACACGACACGTGTACTTTGCCATTATGTCAGGACGATCCTGTCATTGCATAATAAGAATACCATGTAAGAACATCATTTATACTATCTAACAACCAGTCATCTTATCAACAAGTCGCAATCAACCTGGTAAAATGTAATTTTGCGGAAACCTTCTGCTTCGCACTGTGTGCAAAAATTCCCAGAAGACTTGTAAAGCCCCTAACAGAAGAAAACTAAAAAAGTTAGAAGAGAACATTTACATCATTGAGAGTTTAAAAAGAAAGCAAAGTAAGTTCACCTCAAGTGAAGTATTCTTGTGGGGGTATATCTCAGTATCAATTTCCAAAACAAAGGACTCCTCAGCTGGAACCGAAGGAAGAGTGAGATGACGAGAGTCCAACTGGTAATCCCCTTCCTGGCCAAAGTGAACGACATATGAAAAGAGAGACCAAGTAAACAGAGGAAACTGAGTTGCTTGTCTTAGAGAAAAGTCTATATTAAGAATAACAGAGTGAGCCTAGAGATACATAGATTTTCCAGAAGGACAAGTATTGAATGGATACCTTTAGAAGCTTCCCCTCAACCTTAACTGAAAGTAGCTTCAAGTCATGTCCATCCAAGACCAATGCAGCGGAAGATCCTGGCCAACATGATACTTGTTCAGATGTGATGTGAGAAAAAGGAAAAAAAAGCAAAACTCTATCCTGGAGCCATGCAAACAGTGCATGCAAAAGAAACTAAACTTGAATGTTCGTTCAGCTTAAAGACACTATTGATTTTAAAAAACAGTAATGTACTAGACTTTTGTACCTTTAACTCGAGGGGAAACCTTGATTTTAGAGCTAACAATTGTTTTCTCTTCACCTAGAGAAAAGCTCAGATCCACCTAAACAAACAAAAAAAAAAAGGCTTCAAATAACAACAAAATGATTCTAGTCATATGCTCAATTGGAATTAAAAGAAGGCTAGCATACAGTTTCAAAGTAGTAATCAGGCTTTGTGTAGTTCTTGAGAAATATTTCTTTTGGTGCATCCATTTTGGATTCTTCAGCTTTATCCGGAACTGATTCTGTGGCAACAGAACAAATGAGCCTCCTGCTGTTTTGCTTCTGTCTCTGACATATAAAACAGAATATACGTTTATTTTTGCTACACAAATACGGCACTAAACTAATTAATTTTGGATTCTATCACATAAGGGAAGGACAGAGCATGTTACATCAACAGAATGGGGTAGAAACCGATTCTTCCTCAAACAAATGGCCTGAAACAAAGAATTATAGTAAAGATCATTTTCTATTTCAAATAGCGTGGCACTTGTAGTAGAAACAAAGAAACACAAACCTCGGAAGTAAGAAACGGTCTGTATTGAGTAAGTCTCTTTGCCGAACTACGAAGACAACTGCTTCTAACAGGAACCTGTAGAGAAAGTTTAAAATAATCAAAACATATAAAGGGGTAAGTCAACGGAAATGAATACAAACTAAGGAAACGAGAACGCTTACTACAAAATAATGATAGGAAATGGTTTGAGTAAAAGAAAACAGAAATCATAGATAGGAATACAAGAATCAAGAACAATTTCTTATTCTTACACAAGTTCTTTCTAAGGTTTGTGCACACAACCGATTCAAAGTAAAACATGTAAAAACTAAACCCTCAACAAATCATATAATTCGAACAGAACTCAAGAAATTCATCATTTTACTTATTTCATTTCCATTGTTCAGAATCAATCCAAAATACAAGTTTCTATATCTATAACCAAACCAAAAAAAAACAAAAGAGTTAAAAGGGTAATCACAGGAGCACGAGAGAGCAAACCCAGAAGATTGACTCTCGCCAGAGACGAACTTCGACAAGGAATTATCAACCGAGCCATTTAAAAAATACCCAATTCCAGAATCCCTAAACCAACAATAACTATAAAATTAAATTAAAACACTTGCTCCTTGTTGCGGCTAAATTCTCCAATCTATAAACCCTAGATAAACTCTCTCTACTCACTCTACACAGAGAAGAATCAAAGAGAAAACACAGAGCGGTAAGTTAGGGCTATGGACTTTTATAAAGATGAGTAAATGGATAGACTTTAAAATGAAAAAATTATGGCCGAGAAAATTCGATTTAATAATAACAAAAAACAAAAAAAAAAATTGTGAAGCAAGCAAATGATTACACGAAATTAAAATTCGATTTCGCGATTTCAACAGAGATCAAATCTGGGGAAATCGATCGGAGGAAGACGAAGAAGTAAATTACCGAGAGATCTGATGATCAAATGAAAGAGAGACAACTGAAACTATGAGACGAAACCTGGTACTGATATATATGCAACACGATGTAGATATTTATAATAATTATTAAAAAAAAAAAATTAACACAATGATGATAGTTTGTAATTATCCATTTTCCAATACCTTTTTAGCACTTCGATGCTGCTCAGATAATTTTTGTTTGAATTAAAAATACCACTAAGTACTAACAAATTTTTGATCGACTCATGCAAACAGTATATGGTTGAAGATACTATTTTAAGACAAGAAGGTTTTGTTTTAGAAGCGAAACGTTACAACAAAATCGATGCTAATTTTCCAGTCATCGAATAACCAAAATCGCAATTTTCTCTAACGACACAAAAATCTTCCAACAAATTGATAGGTAAAAAAAAATCTAGATGACAGTTTCGTTTAGTCATCATTCACCGATGAACTGGCGCTTTTTAGCGGTGTTCATGTACGGTCTAATAACCCACTCGATCTCTGCTTCATTTTGTTCCACGGTTCCTAATTTCACCTGCAAAAAAATTTGCGTTACAAAGAAACAGCATTGTTACTAAGGAACTTGATTGATTCTTTATCAAACCATTATTTTACTCGAGGAAAACAGTTTTGATTCGGTTAAGCTGAATGCATACCTGGTAGAGCCGCAACTCAAATCGAGGACCAATTTCTTTAAGCTCAATCGATTTCGGACCTCCCTCTCCTTTATCATAGACATGATTCCTATATATTCCAACAAGATTTTCAAAGAAGAATCAACGGAGAAAACAAATAAAGTATAATCTGTCTGTTCAATTCATAAATGTGTCATTGCTTGGTGTTTGACGTGCTTCACCAAGAGGAACAGAATCAGACTACCAACTACCAACATAAGCTTTAGGGTTTTGGCTTTGAAAACTATAAACGATGTTACCAATAAAGTTTAGTAGAAAAATTTACCTGAATGAAATATAATCAGATTGATTAGCAAAAGTAACTATACGTCTTGCATCCAGTTTTGGAGCAGGGAAGATATGTTTTAAGATGTTTGCAACTCTTTGACCCATCTACGAAACAAAAGGAAATCAAATTTAAAATTATGTTTACATTAGAAATGAAAAAATCAGAACGATCAATCTATGAGACGCAATGAAACCAAATTGCAGTAAGAAAAAAGTGAATTGGTTCTACGAATATACCTGAGTAGTAAAGTTGTTAAAAATGAGATGAGGATATTGCTCAGGCATTTTTCCAATGGCTTTCTTGTCTGAGATATCATGTCTTGTTACCTAAACAGAGGGAACTTTGGATTTACTAAAAAGGCTAAACTAGGAGTTGAAAAGAAGAAAGTTTTGGAAAAAAAAAATCAGTTCTACAATGAGTTACTTACCACATTAAGTAATCCAAAGTATGCAGTTGGTCCAAATGGGAGATGAGAGATAATGAGACCATCAGGCACACCACGGTGCTCATGAACCAATATAACATCAGTAAAATCATGCGAACGGGCAGTTTCAATGATCTCAGAAATGACCTGCAAATAACAATGGGAAAACTTAGATATTACGATTTGAATGCAACATAGTTTACATGTTCCACTAACATAGAGAGGTATTGTGTTGTATATAAGTGTCAATACAACTCCAGCCCAAATGATGGTTTATATTAGTCAAGCTTCGATTTGAAATCTAGATTCTGCAGAATTGGACAGACTCAACTACTTTTTAAATTATGAAGCTTGATTTGATATGCAGTTCACTGATAGGACCGGTGTTGCACATAAGTTCAACACTGATCTGATTCAAGTATATGCACATGCAATAGTTATACCCAGGAAACAAAATGTTTTGAAGGGAGCTAATACCATTAGCAATCAATTTAACAACATCAATAAGAAACCACAAGCAGTGACCAAGTAAAACAAAACCAGGTTACAGAAAAAGAGGATTGGATATTTCCAAATGAGTTAAAGTACAGAAGCCAGAACAACACACATACCTGACCACCACGATTTATTCTCTGAGAGTTAGGAAACACAAACTTCAATTCCTGTTACAGAAATTACACAATCAAAGGATAAATCAAAGAAAAGGCACAAATCACTAGCCAAAAACAAACCCGGAAGAAAACAAGCCAGACAATAATGTCAGCATCTTCAACGACCGAAACTAAACTAAACAATACCTTTGTGAATCGGATGAGGGGAGCACTTGGATTCCTAGACGTTGTCAACAAAATCTTAGGATCTGCTTCCGTAGCATTTGCATATTCATCGTCGATATGACTCCGCGGAACTATTAACAACATGATTAGAAAGATAACCATTAGCTGATGCCACAAACCATTTATATCCCCATACCACAGGTTCAAACCATAGCTTTTGAATACAAAGATAAGAACGAATTCGTCTTCTTTCAATGAACCCCAAAATATATAAATGAATTCCCGAAAAATGCTTACACTAATTCAGTATCAATATAACAAAAACATAAGTTACACGACTGTGCTTCTAATGTAAATGCATACAATTACAATATATCAATTGATCAAACCAATCGGAAAAGTTTAGCTCCCGAATTCTTACCAGCTGTGTTTTGGTCTTCAAGATCAATTTCTTGTCGAAGCCTGGCCTCCTCGTTACGGAGCTCAGTAGGAATCGGCCTTCCTTCTGTTAAACCATAAAAACCCAAATCACAACAACGAAAAATAAACATCGAATCAATGATTGTTTCGACAGGTACGGAAAAAAAATCACTAGACCTTGAAGGGCTTCTCTTATCTTCCGCTTCTTCTCATAGACCAAACGCTCGTCACCTTCCAAGTTTTTCCTGTAGAGATACTCTTTTCTTAACCTTACGTTTCTGCGCAACATCGTGATTCGTCGTGAGTGATTCAGAGAGAGAGAGAGAGGCTAAGAGACGAACTTGTTTGGTAGTGGCGGATTAGGGTTTTAGGTAAGGGTTTCGAGAGAAAGCAGGAAGAAGAAGGCGACTGAAAGATAGCGAATATGTTGAGAAGTTATAAAAACGGCAAGGTGTTTGTCTTTGAATACGTGAAACGGAGGACAGCAAGCTATTTTGGGCCGTTTATTTATTATCTGAGCCTAAAGAAGCCCAAAGGAATAACAAAACTAGGAAAAACGGTAAAAAGGTGCCCTCACGCAGGATCGAACTACGGACCTTCAGTTTACAAGACTAACGCTCTACCACTGAGCTATAAGGGCATTTCTGTCATAAATACTACTGTAAATTTATTATTTTATTCTATAACTCTGTTAAACCAAAATTCAAAGGCAGATTCATGATTAACAACAAACTAAACTTTGAAATTGCTTATGAGACCCAAACAATCTAACCACATAATCAGAGGTGCACAATAACATGAAGATAAAAGGAGCTTCAATATTTTACATGTTTGATAAAAAGGCACAAAGTAAACAACAAGAGAATGAGAGAGATTTTAGAGTTCAATTTAAAGATGGAACTTTAAACATTCATTGATTATTCATATACATATGTACAAAGTCACCGGCTTCTTTTTGTCACCCCGGTTTAGCCATTAAGCCAGCCACATGATTCATACCAAGACCAATGCGGATTAAGGATCAAGTTTACCTGCGATTGCAACATCATCTTCATCATCACAGTCTGAGGCATATTCGTCTTCACTCATTTCATCATCACTAGACATTTCCTCAGTATCCGCCCTTGGCTTTGCGTATTTCTCGCAATACTCTGAAACCGCGCAAGAAGATAAGAAAATGTAAGGTTTGTGAATGAGTAAAAACAAGAATCTAAAGCAACTCAATATCCAACCTTTAACTCTCTGTTCATAGGTAGGACGATCACGCATCATCAATGCAGCTGCTTCTCCATTCAATGGATCTGACGGATTCGGATACAGAAGAAGTTGAGGAAGAAATGTCTCAAACACATTCACCAGGTCTGAATAACTAAATCCATATCACAATTAACATAACAAAAACTAACAAGAGTTAAAACTATCTTGTATATTGTTCATTTGTTATGATCATACCGAACATGGGGCTCCAGGTCTGGTTAATAACATCTAAACACACAGAACCCGACCTGCACAATCGCAAACAAAGAAGCATAACAAATAAGCACCACTCAAGATTTGGATAAGGAACATAATCACCGATTCCTAAACTCACATTTCATCGACATTCGGGTGGTATATTTTGGTAATGAAACCAACAGATGGAGATTTATAAGGATAAGCATCAGGAAGTTCAACTCTTATCTTCCACACACCTCCCTCATATATACCTGTCCATAGTCGAAACACCAAATGAACAAATTCTTTGTTACTAAAAATGATGCAAAACCTGATATAATTATCAGCAACAGTAGCAGAACCAAATCTTTAAATGACTTCATAATCAAAATTGATACTAAGAAAAAACACCAAATAATCTGATTTCCCTAAAATATAAACGATGCAAAACCCTATGATCATCATCATCAGTACCAGGAACCAATTCTCTATGATTTATAGTCAAAGAAGAATAGAGTTACTTACTGTCTTTAGGTCCGTTGAATTCAACATAGAACTCTTGCATGCCATCATTGATCATCTCCACCTTGTAGTCACTCATCATCCTAAACTCTCACATCAATCAGCAAAAATTTCGAATCAAATCACCAAACAAAATCCGAGCTCAAAATCAAGAATAAACCGATTCGATAATAAGAATTAAAAAAAAATACAGTTTCATCAAATCCATTTCTCTACGCTTGCTCGGCGAAGACATGGTTTCTCTCTTCTTCTTTTTTGCTGATTTTTTTTTTTTTCCGGGAATCGAGTGGAGAGAAAAGGAGAAAGTGAGAGAATCTTTAAATACTATTTTTATTACAGATATCGATGATGATGATGATGATGTGAGATGTTCCAAATTAGATAAATTTATTGCCGTGTTGACAAAAAATAAAGTTTTCAAATTCCAAGTTTCGACGGCAAAGTATTGGGAAAAAAAAAACTGTGGCTCGTAGATGTAGTAGTAACTCAAATTGAATAATTACGCATAAATATAGAATTCAAATTTTATGTACATGAAGCTATTTGCAAATCAAATAAAAACCATCAAAGTATTAAATCGAAATATTTGGGATCATGTAACTAATCTTTTTTTTTTTTGTTAAAGCATGTAACTAATCTTATCTGTAAACTGTTACTGTAAAAGAGAGTATTTTTTGTGTTGGTTAAAATAATGGAAATTTATGAGTGAAATAAAAACTTGTGAGTGACTTCATAAATCAACGATCGTAATTTAAATTGTTTTCAGAGAAAAATAAAATAAAACGATTAGGTTAGTTAATTAATAAAATAAATAAAACGGGTAAATAATTAATTAATAAATTTTAAAAAAATGGGTTTGCGTGATAGAGCCGTTATTACACAGTGGTCACAGAAATTTCATACAAGTGAAGAAACAAAAAATACACGTTCTGAATTCTGATAAAAGGAAGCCAGTGATTTCGAAAGGGTCGATTTTGTTTTGAAGAAAGAACGAGAAGAGATATAGAGAGATGGTAACAGAAACAGAGTTTAATTTTCCGGTGGTTCTGTAGTTACTTCCGCCGTCAAATCTCTCGTTTCTTCTCCTATGGTAAGTCGTATTCCCCATTTTTCCGACATGTTATATACTTTTGATTTTTCTCTACGCATGAACGATCAGTCCATAGCTCTGTTTTGTTTTGATGAAGAAAGATCATGTACGATTTTGCAGACTGTTAAGGAGGTATGTAGCAACTTGTTACAAAGCGTACTGTGCAAGAACTTCTATTAACTTATCAGAATTATCAGGTATATTTCAAACATTCTATACTAAAGATTGAATCTTTTTGCATACTCAAACAACTTTCATGTCCTGATCGTAATTTATAAAGCATTGGTCCATTACAACAACAACAACAACAAAAAAGTGTGTGTTTCTTTCAGTTACTTTTTTAATTCACTATCGATATTTTAGGAACTTAAGAGAATTGCTAAGTCCCTGCCAATCATTCAATATAGAGCTCATCACCACCAGATTAATCAAAACAAGTTTCCATAGGACATGAAAAGGAATTATCATTAAATATTATACTGAAACTTGTGTTTTCTTTAATTGTTTCTTGAAAGTTGTATGTGCTCTAGACTCTATCTAGTACATTGGCTATATTCAGATCTACGTCCTCACCATCTATATTTATTGCAGGAAGGAACCAAGAGGATAACAACGATTTAGTGGACTGTGCCTTTGCAGCTTCAACCCAAATTCTTTTTTTTTTTTTTTTTTTTTTTAAGTGGGTAAATATCATATAAAATGAAAAAGTTTGGAATTACATGTGCAATACCTAAGGTTTAGTTCCTTGGCAAAAATTAGGATAAAAAACAAGGAAGTAAACAAAGAAGAAACAGATCTTCAAAGTAGGAGCATTATATGAGCCATAGGCTCATAAGATTACGGAACTTTCGTCGGTGCCTCCGAGCATTTATAGAGTTGATGACTTCCCTATCGATGATCATGAAGGCCGCAGCAGGTGCAATGTGATTCGAATTGTGCAACATGTTATTCCTCTGCTTCCAGGTTGCGTAAACAACGGCTTGAGTAATCAGCTTCCTCAATGTAGAAGGAGCAGTAGGACTTGTCCTTCTGATCCAAGATAACAGCTCAGCCCAGTCCATAAAACGTAAGGAATGCAGCCTAAGTCTCGACTGAACTAAATTCCAAATAGCGGTGCTGAAATCGCAACGAAGCATTAAATGATCCCTTGTTTCTGTCTCAGCAGAACACAAGCAGCAAAGAGGCGAGACAGGCAGCCCCCATGCCTGCAGCCTCGCCCGTGTGGGCAGTCTATCAAGATGAGTGGTCCACATGTTGAAAGCGTTTCTAGGAATAGAGCCTTTAAACCAGATTGCAGCAGCCCACCCTTTCTTCTCTTCACGTTGTCTAATAACCTGCCAAGTCTTCGAGGAAGAGAAACTATTGCAATCCACATCATTCACATACCAGCCATAAACATCCTCAACGAGCGGACGCAGAGGCAGCGAGATAGTATTTAGGTGGTTATGGAGACTATGAACCTGAGAAGAGCGTGTCATAGGCAGGTCCCAAACATTTCCTTGAGCTGCCACAGAAACAGTAGCATCAAGAGGAATACGCAACCTTAACGGGCCTCCATCGCCAATGTGCTTTATTAAAGGACCGAAAAGGGTCCAATTGTCTCTCCAGAAGCTAGCAGAAAGCCCATTGCCAATGTCACACCGAAGAAACCGCTCTGCTAATGGTCTAAGCCGAAGAAGACACTTCCAATTCCAAGAATCATTAGCCTTTTCTTTTATGGTCCAGAAGGTAGAGATATTATCGCTTCCAGAAACCTTTAGATTGTGAAACCTGTGCCAGTCAACCCAAAGAGACCCTCCATTAGAGAATAACCGCCAAACAAGCTTAAGGCTGAGAGTTGTGTTCCACTGAGAGAACCGCCTAAGACCCAGACCTCCCTCTGACTTTGGCAAGCACACTGTTGCCCACGCCACCTTAGCCTTATGGTGGTTCTCAATACCTCCAGACCAAAGAAAACGGGAGCACAAGGATTCGATTGCTTTGATGCAGCCACTTGGAAGCTTGAAAGTAGTAATCCAGAAGACAACACAGCCAGTAATCACAGAGGATAATAATTGTAACCTGCCAGCGAAAGAGAGCGACCTCACTGCCCAACTAGTAAACTTCCCTTTTATCTTCTCCACAAGAGGGGAATACTCTGAAATTTTCAGTTTCCTACACATTAAAGGCAGCCCCAAGTAACGAATTGGCAGGCAAGCTTGTGTGAAACCATAATTTGCAATAGCCTGCGATTCAACCTCATTTACTCCAGCCAAGAATAATTCTGTTTTTTCTCTATTCATGTTCAGCCCTGACCAACCCGCAAAATCATCCAAAGTCTCATTAATTCCATGAAGGGAAGAGCTGCCGCCATCGAAAAATATCATCACATCATCCGCAAACATCAAATGAGAGATATTCAAGTTTGATGTTTTAGGATGATAGAAGATATAGCATGAGGAGTACCTAGATAAGAGAAGCTTCGAGAACACCTCCATAGCCAACACAAAGAGGTAAGGCGACAAAGGATCCCCTTGCCTTAGCCCCTTTGTACTCTTGAAATAACCACCAGAAGCACCATTCACAGAGATAGAGAAGATCGGGGTAGAGATACACTCAACAATCCACAAAACAAACCTCTCTGGCAGATGAATTCCTCTTAGAGTTTCAGCAATAAAATCCCATCTTACTAAATCAAACGCCTTTCGTAGGTCCACCTTTAACATGCCACTTGGATCCACATTATTTCTGTTGTAGCCATGAACAATCTCGGTCGCCAGCAGAACATTCTCAGACAATAGTCTCCAAGGGATAAATGCAGATTGGGAAGGAGAAATGATATCAGGCAGCAGGGCCTTTAGCCTATTAGCGAGAAGCTTTGAAACTACCTTGTAAAGAGTGTTAAGACAAGATATCGGCCTAAAATCTGAAGGAGAAGCAGCATTGCAGATCTTTGGAATCTAAACCAGGGTAGTAGCATTCCATTGCTTCAGCAGCTTTCCCGAGATGAAGAATTCCTTTATTGCAGCAAGGACCTCACCACCAACAATGTTCCAGAGACTGATGTAGAATTCTGCAGGGTAACCATCTGGACCGCTAGACTTATTTCTAGGCAATGTGAAAAAAGCCTGCTTTATCTCATCATCAGAGAAAGGAGCAATCAACGACCTCTGCTGGACCAGAGAGCACCTAAAATCCAGCAGCCTGGTAATATCTGCCTGAATGAATAAAAGAGGAGAGATAACTGGACAGAGCAGCGTTTCAAAAAAATCAACACAAATTTTTTGAATTCCCTGAGGAGTCTCTACCTTTACCCCATACTCATTCAAAAGATAGTGAATATGATTCAAGGAAATCCTGCTATTCACCATCCTATGAAAGTATCTAGAGTTGCAGTCTCCATCACCTAACCAAGTAATAGTTGACCTTTGCTTGTAAAAATGCTCCTCAGCTAAGGCCAGAACATGCCATACTCTTTCTGCTTCTACCACCATTCCAGCGTTTAGAGAAGTAGGGTCAGAGTAGAAGATGCCTTGCCTCTGAATAAGAATGTCATGCGCTTCTTGCACTCTTTTTTCGATACCTGAGTAGTTGTTTCTGCTAAACTCTCTGATAATCTTCTTTAGGGTAATCAGCTTATGAGAAATTCTGAACATATCCGATCCCACAAAGTTAAAAGAGAACCAGTGAAACCCAATGAGAAGGAGAAAGTCCTGATTTTGTAGGAGAAAAGTATAAAATTTGAAGGACTTTTTCTGCTTAGGAGCACCAATAGCAAGGTTTACAGTAGCACAAGCATGATCCGAGAAGTCCGGTTCACTGAAGAGACCAAAAGACAAAGGAAAACTCACAGCCCAGGCATCATTTACTAGTACTCTGTCTAGCTTCTTAGCAATGGGATCTGCCTCCCTCTTATTCCACCAAGTAAAAGAACATCCTCTGAAAGTAAGGTCCTGGAGAGCTGCACTAGCAAGACAGTCCCTGAAGTCCTTAGTAGCTTTGTTAACCCTGAAGCCATCCGATTTCGAGTGCTCATTTGGATTCAGTGTCTGGTTAAAATCGCCAAGAACTGTCCAAGCTTTGCCAGCCACAGCCTGCGACGTAGAAACACTGATCAACTCATCCCAAAGCAAACTCCTAACCTCTTCAATATTAGAGGCATACACAAAAGAAACCACCATTGGAAAACCTGCGTTAGGTAAAACCACTTCACAAGTAACCATTTGTAAGGATTTAGAGATAATGGAGACTTTAACACAGGGGTCCCAGAGGATCCATATCTTGCCTAGATCCGAGTACTCATAGTTGTCTTCAAAAAGCCAGCCAGGCATAAGGGAATTGATGAACTTATCTCTCTTTGGCGGCTGCACATGAGTTTCAATTAAATGGGCTTATTTCTTCGAAGCCACTTCTTAAATCCGGTACGATGAGATAGCTTATTAAAGCCTTGGACATTCCAACAAAAAATATCTACACACATTGAAGATATCAGATTTTGAGGCCATTGCCTCGTTCACCTCTGCGATGCTTTTTCGACACCACTTCTGTGATCGTCCTCTTGGTACCCACCATTGTCGCTAGAAAGCGTGTCTGAAGAATCTGGCTCAGCTTCAGAAGAGCACGCAGAAGCAGACGCGGAGGCAGCCTTTGAATTGCTAGACTCTCCAGCTAACTTCTTACCTGTTAGCTTTGACTCAGAAATAGCCAAGACTCCTGATTCTAACTGAGCAGTGATGACCTGAGGGGATACCGCTGGTTGAAAAACAGGAACAGCCTCTTGCACTGGCTTAACACGATAAACCATCTGTTTCTTTTTCTTCGCTCTAGGACACTTCTGCAGGGAGTGAGCAGTAGAATTACAACCCGTACATGAGACCGGAGCCAACTTGCAATGTTTCACACTGTGACCAATTTCCTTGCAATGCCCACACACGGGTGGCATCCAAGGGCTAGAGACCAGAACTCTCTTAATCTCCCCAGATTGGAACTTGACATTGACCGCCTCAGGCAGCGGCTTACGAGGATCAATGATGGTAAAAACTTTCGCAACCTCGAGGTTCGCCTTACTTGCTGTCAAAGGATGAAGACATTTAGGATCTCCTACTAGCCCCGCAATATGCTCCAGACCATCTTCATTGAAGAATTGCAGAGGAACATTCCTTAGCTCAAGCCAGATTGGAGCCGATGACAATTCTGGCTTAACAGGTACAAAACCAGGTACAAAACCATCTTCATTGAAGAATTTCACAATTTTCAACCCAAATTCTTCCGAATACGAGGTTTAAAAGCTTTCTCGATTAATATACAAAACTAGATTTTACAAGTATATATTTATTTATATATAATGGTTTTGGCAATCAAATGTTTTTCACTTCTGATTTACAGGTTTATAAGTCAGTTTTTTAACTATTCAAAACTATATTCTACATTTATAAAAAAATGTTTTCTGGCAATAAATATTTTTAGCTAAATTTTAAGGAAACTTGAGTTTTGAATTACAAAATTGTGAAAACAATCCGAACATATGGTATCCGGTTCAAATTTATTTGAGTTATTAGAAGTACCATAAGTACAATATGTTTTCACATAATAAAATTTAACACTTAGTTTCTCATTAATTTGGCAAAAAAATGTTTTCACTATTGATTTTCAGGTTTTATAGTTTTTATTATATAATTTAACATTTATACATTTATATACTTACAATATTTTGGTAAGAAAATGTTTTTAGCTAAATTTTAAGGAAACTTGAATGTTGAATTACAAAATTGTGAAAACAAACCGAACATATGATATCCGGTTCAAATTTATTTGAGTCATTAGAGGTACCATAAGTACAATATGTTTTCACACAATAAAATTTAACACTTAGTTAATAGTTACTCATTAATTTGGCAAAAAAAATGTTTTCACTATTGATTTTCAGGTTTTATAGTTTTTATTATATAATTTAACATTTATACATTTATATACTTACAATATTTTGGTAAGAAATTTTTGAGCTAAATTTTAAGGAAACATGAGTGTTGAATTACAAAACTGTGAAAACAAACCGAACATAATTGTACAATATTAATTTTTCACTATTGATTTTCAGGTTTTATAGTTTTAATTAGTTAAATTTACCCAGTTTGACTCAAAACTTAGCTAAAATAACTAGAATGACTCTCAATCCAAATGGATAACTAGACTAACCCAAATTTTATGTAAAAAGACTATTTAACCTTTCATTATGCCATTTCCTTTAAAAATAAAAACTAAATTCGTTTTTTTTTAATTAAAAATCAAATATGGCAGTTAATTTTAACAAGTCTGTTACATTAAAATAAAGTCTGCCGTATCCTAATTTTGCAGATATTTTTTTTAAATTGCCAAACATAATCTTGTAGTAATAAAATCTGACAAATCTGTCATGATAAAATAAAAATCTGTCATAACATGAAAAAATCTGTTATCATTAAATAGGTCATTCCAATAATTTATTTTTAATTCAAGAAATCTGCTATGAAACACCAGATTTTTGTAAATTAAACATAAATCTGGCATAACATAAAAAAAATCTGTCATAACGTTAAACATATCGGTTGTGACTATATGTCATTCTAGCAATTTCAATTTTTTTTAAACAAATCTGCTATAACATTCCAGATTTTTTGTTAAAATTAAAAAGTCTGTCATAACGTAAAACAAATCTGTATGCACTAAAAAGTCAAACTAGTAATTATTTTTTATTAACAAATCTGCTGTATTATGACAGTTCTTTTCCAAAAAAAATAAGTCTGACGCCACTAGAAACAAAAATCTGCTACATATTATAATAAAACTGTCAAAATTACGAAAGTCCGAGGCGTCATCATAAAATAAGTCTGGCAAAGGAAAAAAATCTGCTACAAATTAAATATCTGTCGTAACCATATTCAAATAAGTCTGTGGGAGAAAAAAAACTGCCACAGAAAATCTGTCGTAGACTATTAAATCTGTCGGAAAAAATAAATCTGTCACAACGACGCCCACAGACTTTTAACGGCAGATTTTTTTAAAAAAAAAATTTCACCCACGTTTCCAGAAAAATCAGAGGGTAATATTGACTTTATTTTTTTCCTAACAAAGAGACAAAGGGTATTTTGGTCCGGAAAATAACTAGATTAACTCATACATTTTATGAGTTATTTTAGTAATTAAACCTTATTTTTGGGTCAAACTAGTTTTTTTCCCTTTTAATTATACAAACTTAATTATACATTTCTATATTTTATATAATGTTTTTGGTAATAAAATATTTTGAGGTAAATTATAAAGAAACTTGTACGTTAAATTGCAAAATTATAAAAACATATGATATCAAATTCTGTCTTTTGAATCAGTAGAGGCAAACATAAGTACAATCTGTCTTCACAAATGTAAAATTTAGCACTTCGTTCCTGATTAATTTGGCATTTTTTCACTTCTGGTTTTCAAATATAAAGAAACGTTGTTGTAATTTTCGAATTGTAGAAAATTAAATTATACATTTATAATATATGTAAAAAATCTAGGATTTCCAAAGTAAATGGTATTAGAGATAAATGTTTTTCATAAATGTCTTTGATTAAAAAAAAAAGAAGAAAAATAGTAGAACGAAATAAGCCATTAAGCTTCACATTAAACTCAATGGAAGAAGGAAAACTGGTAATGTGTTTGGTTGGTCTCTTTAGACAGTTTGAGTATGATGAGTAAACAAAATTGACATACAAATTTTAAGGAAAATTGTACCTAATTTTAATAAGACAAGTTGTTAATCGCAGCTTACTTCTGGAGTGGTCGATATTTAGACAAAGCGTGGAGGCTTGAGCAAATAGATATCCCTTACCAACCCTTTACCCATTTCGCCTACCGCCTTCAACATCTCCATTGGATTACTTTCTTCTTCCTCTTCATCTCGTTCTCGTTTCTGCAATCAAACATTACATTTGTTATGATTTTTCCTTTCGTTTTTGTTTGAAGTAAAACACTAAGAAGATTTCTTACCTTTGAATTGTGTTTGTTCCATGTTAAACCAATTGCGTCACCTCCTATATGATCATACCACGGCTTCAACGTCCCAAACTCTTCCTGCAAACAACCGCATACGATAAGAATCGTGTGATAGCTTCCTTTCTTTTAACAAGAAATTGAATAAATATGAACGTTTATGTTCTGATTACAGCACTTGCCTGCAACCCACTCAACAAGCACTTGGTCGGCTCAAAGTCCACCATTAGCTTATTCTTAAGCTCTTCATGGCTTCTCTTCAAATCTCCAGGCGGCATAAATGGGTTAAACAATCTACTCGCTTTTCCCCGTGCTACATGCTTCCCTGTTCAATAATTGGGAGAGAAGTTTTAATGGTGGATGTTACGATATAAACAAAGAAACAGAGACAGAGAGAGCTATGTTTGGAACCTTGGTTAAGTTCAGATGGAAACAGAAGACGACGTGGATAAGGTAATTTGTCTCTGTGGAGAAGAATAACTGCGTCATAGTTGTGCAAGGGTGTCCTGAAAAGGCACTGCAACGTTGTATATGCATATAATATTAGTCGATATAATGTTCTCATAATAACCAGCTCAATACAATTGGTTTTCAATGCATCTCACTCACCTCCCATCGAACAGAATCGTTATGTTCTTGCAATACCAATTTGCTCAACACGTTTGCACTGCTTCGAGCATAAGCCACCAACCTTTTTTGTTCCTTTAACAGAGTTAATAAAAGAGAGTTCAGACATGAAGAAAAAAAACAGAGTGGCGGAAGATATGCATTTCAAAAGCGTATTCTAATTACTAACCAATAAATTTGGTGAAGTTGCTGTCCATGCCTCTGATGCCTTGTCGTAAGGAGCAGCCAAGAACATAGCTGAACTTATGTTTTGTCTGTCCTCTTCGTAGCCTTTTCTACTTGACATGAAATTATCCTAGAAAAAACCAGAAAAAATTTACAATGACATACAGTTCTAAAAATCTAGCCCAACACTAGACCCATTATTAAACTTGGGACTCACATTGATCTCTTTCTCGTCATTTCTACCAAAGTCATTGTTTATGTCAACAATCAACGGGTAGAACATCCAGTCATAGTCTGCTAGTAATCGCAAGAACCTGTTACACGGTCCAGCGGAAAAAGATGTGACGTTTTGATTGTTGGCAACAGTATTGCTTGGTTGTTTTCCGTCAAATCAAAAGTATGGTAGCGGGGAAAGATACCTTAAGAATCCATTAATTCGGGAGCAAGGAACACCAAGTGGGAGAGGTGTGAGGAAGACATGAGCAACCAAAAGTTCAATGGCCTCTTCTGCCAGGCAACCAGAAAAGAGATGTGCAGAAACCCATCTTTTTGCAAGCCTTAAGGTAGCAGACAAGGTCTTGGTTATGAAACTTCAAAGCAAACAAAAGTAAACACATGATTATATTGACTTTACCTGGCAACTGGTGCGTATATAGGAAATCGACCTTGCAAACCATTGATCATACTTGCATGTTGACTACGAATAAAAAGCATTTTATCGGTAGAGGAAACATGCTTCACCGGGTCCACTCCAACTGCAACTCAGTAGAAATCGAGGAAGTTAGCATCACATAGGCTTTCTATTCATAAATAGAGGATAGTGTGTACGAGAAGAAAACTCACTTTCTCTCTTCACCAAGCTCAGGCCTCTTTCATGCAATATTCTCAGGCGAAATGCGTAACCACCCATGAAAACATCGACATTATCCTCAGTAGCTGTGCATGGTATTCCCTTGACGTTCTGAAGGCTGTCAGTATTTTCGTTTGTAAGTACTCAGATAAAAACACTGTGACTTAATAGTTTGAAGTGTTACAAACAATAGCTTCACCCACCTCTCTGCAATTTTCAGGAGGAAGGCAGATTTTGTTTTCTCAACTGCCAAATCATCCATGGGCCAGTTACCAGAACCCTCTAGCTGAGATAGCAAAGGAATAATAATGACAGGAGTGTTAAGATAACTAATTAAGACAAAGTAACTATGTCAGTAACCATCTGGTGTATTGATCACACCTGAATCATGACCTCCATTGCTGGAATGCAGGATGGCAAAAGTTTTTGCAATCTTCGCGAATCGATTTTTTCGCAAGCCACTGGGTGAGGTTCAGGAGGGAATACGGATGTGAACCTTAGAGCTGCAAGTCACGAGGAAGATTAAAAATAAAAAACTACAGATACTGAAAAAATCAGTGCCAGTACACTCTTGTAGTTTCTAAATTTTAACAGCTAATTGCAAAGGAAATTACAGAAAAACAAACCTGAATCTAAAGGCTGGACGCTAGAGACTTTGAGAGGTATTCCTTCAATCTCACGCAAGCACTTCGATAAAACTTCATAGGCTTGAAGCAAATTTCCAGATAAAGATATTGGGTCTGAGACATAACAACCGTTGTTGCATTAGATTGAAACTATAAGCAGACAGCGCGCAATGCATTGAGAAAAAGAGGATTTTTTTATTATGTGTTTAGCAGTACCTTTGCCCCCATAGTCTAGAGAGAAATCAAGTTGATCCACTAATTGTACAATGTCATCGGATGACAGGGAAAGATGCCGCTTAAGGATATATTCAACAATTTGTTTCATGATAAGATGTTTGGTCCACTGCTGAGTCTCCCAAACTGAGAAAATGAATGAGGCAATATTCAGCTTGCATTAACTCAAAACTTCATAGTTAACTCTGCTACAAGCAATGTATTGATAACACACCTGTGCTTTCCGCTATTCTTCCATCTTTAAACCTCCTTAGATCAGACTTCTCGCCCCAAAACTTCCGGAATCTAAGTGCCTAGACCAATATATTACTCAGTACGACCCAATCAGACAGCAATGATTCAGAAATTTTGGATATACCTCTATCTTGTTTTCAGCATCTGGCCCAATATCAACTGTTCTATAAGCCTTTTCAGTGGAGCTGACAGATATGCCAATGAAAAGAGGTTCTCTGTCAAGAACTGACAAGCCCTGGTTCAATGGCAGTTAAGAGTATTAGAAAAGAGCCCACTTAGTTGCAACGAACAGTATGATTCATAATTGGAAAAAA